TTTATTGTGCTCTTTCTATCTAGTTGTTTTTAGTCCAATTTTTCTTGATCTGTTGAGGTGCTTGACGTATTTATCTGAACCGTCTCTTATCTCCCCTCAAGGATGTTTTTCGGGAAGCCAGAGCAAATGGCTTCGGTGTAACTGTCATTAGGAAAGGAGAGGTTCAGCTCAACGTGGACCAAACTTTGGAAGAAGTGGAGGAACAGATCACTGAGATCGGGAGCAAAATATACCATGATAAGATCATGCAGGAGCGTTCTATGGACATAAGCTCGTTGATGAAGGGCGTGTTTGGTTTCAGCGGCAAACCTACTAAGAGGTAGTTTCATAATTTACCTGGCATGTGGCGGACAAAAATCATTGCATTCTTTTTCGTGGTAGTCACGGCTTGTATCTTGGTTCGTCTTGATTTCAGAACAAGATCAAAGAGAACGATGAAGACTGCAATTGGATTCGGTGGCAAACCCGCTAAGAGGTAAATTCCGTGTGCGTTGCTTTATCTTTGTGTTCTATTTTCGTCAAAGGCACATTTCTTACGTCTTCTTGTTTGATTGATTGCAGAAAAAGATCAAAGCAGACGCTGAAGAAGCCTAGCAAGAAAGAAAGGTGATGCTTGTTCATACATACTCCGAGAGACAGCGATAATCGACCATATGACCAGTTCATGGTAATGGAGGCTTTGGATGTGTACTCCACGTTCTTACGCAAATGCCGGGCAAACTCTCTGAAAGCATTCAGAGATCCATGACTTGGTGCAAGCCATTGACCTTTCAAGCCACCTTTTAACCCGAGTCATTGTGGCAAGAAACTGCATCTGTTTGGTGGTAGCAAAGAGTATAAAGCCGCTACTGCCCCTGATTCATTTGCATTCTGTCTCACCCAAGGCTGGAGGTGGATTGCAGTTCAGCTAGCTCTCAATTCCCTGCTTGTGTGCGGCTGTTGAAGATTTGGTTTGTGGTGTACCATAACAGGTTCCAGCACCTCACCATGGTCACTTTCTCCGGGAAGCCAGACAAAACAAATTAATTCTGGAGACATATCCGTGCAGTTGCTCTGTGGATTGTGGGAGCTCATCGTAGGAACTGGGAACTGATATTCCCTTGAACTCCTTGTATTTAAGATATTAGTTTCAATGTTTGCTTTTTAATGTGTGAATAATATCCAACCTTTGCTGTATTTTGTTCTTGTAATACTGTAATTTATAGTATATTCAACATGCAAGCAGAATCATCGGCTTTGTTTCTTAAATGAAATTCAATTATTATTTCCTGGCCAAAAAGTTCCAGGAGGACTGAAATTCGAGACACTGGTTCCTTCCCTCCACTAGTTTTGAGGAAAATTCAACATATATTCCGCAATATCTGATGGCTCACTAAAACCAAAATCAATCGGATTGTATTTCTGTAATACCTTTAGGCCAACAAATTCACACTTATTTACTGCCCTATTAGTTGTTGTACATGTATCAAAATTTGGTTGTTGTACATGTATCAAAATGAAATTTCTATTATCAATACAAATTTGAGGTGCAATTACAAAAGCATGAGAAATTATCACGAAATGAATCATGACCTCCGCTACAGGTCAAACAGAAGGGATTTTGTTCTACAATGGAAAAACAAATACGGAATGGACTTTGGTCTACAATGGAAAAACAAAGACGAAATAGATTTTGGTCTACAATGAAAAAACAAAGACGAAATTCTTCAAGAAGTAAAGGTTTGTATGGGCAAGAGGAGATCTAGTCGGCCTGCCACACAAACAAATGTACGTCAATCACATGACATATACACTTATATACCTATGTTCACCACATGATCCAGTAGCATTATCATCAAGAAGGTGATCTAGAGATCTCATCAAGGCGACAATCCATGATTTCGGATATAGTCTCAAGAAAAGCATCTTCGCTTGAATCTGGAAGCACAGAATCCTCCGCTTCTTGCACTATCTCCTCAATGATGGATTCCTTGTTCAAGGTTTTCCTGCACATTATGCTTCCTATGGCAAAGGGAGAGAGCCGCCTCTCTACCCCTTTCTTCAGAAGCATAGTTGAAATGCGAAGTGTTCGAGCACATTTAGGTGTCATGTCCCATCCATAGAACTTCAAAAGGGCGATATCTTCCTCTGCATCCAGTGATTTTATGTAATCAATGACCTCATCGGCATACGGCTTGCGTGCTTGTGGCCAGTACAGCCAGTCAAATGTAATGTCTTCAAACTGCAGGAACAACAAAAATAAAATCAGCGACAAATTAACACACATAAACAAAACAAAAATAAATGTCAAACACCGCAACAAAACACATAAAATCACTCAGTTAAGCAAAAAATGAAGCAAAGGCAGTACGTACACTTTCGGGCAAGCAGTACCCGTGATCAATTGGAATCAGCACAGTCTGCCCACCTTCACTCTCCTTGCTCAGCAAAATATTTCCAGCATGCCTATCCGCATTTGCCAATCTAATATCCAAAACAGAAATTTTATGGACTTCCTCAACTGGGAAAGTGGCAGGCCCCATGTCCTCGCAACTTCCATTGCTCTCCATGAACTTCTGCAAGGACCCAATCTTGACAATTGCATCCTCGGGATGGTTGAATGCACTATGAAAGCACTTGACCATAAATGTTGGGGGGACCCCAGCAAAGCCCTTTGCATTACCAAACAGCATGCGACGCCCACCCTCTGGGTGATCCAAGAGGTAAGCTGCAACTTCCCTGAATGCTCCTTCTCCAACTCTTGTTCCCTTTTTCAATCCTTCCCCATCAAGTGACAATGGAAGCCCCCTTGGATTGTTTAGAGCCATAGGCTCCTCATCAATCGGCTTAAAAACAGATACATACTTTTGCCCTGTTGAGTCAAGCATAAAATACGCTCCTCCTGTACCCTCCATGGACCTGATTGGATAACTCCCATTATCTAATCCGTTAGATGTTTCATTAACCATATCCCAAATCAGGGATGGTAATTTAATCTTGGGGTTAACAATGAAAGGCTCGAACAAAAAATCCCTGTCAGGAGGTTTTCTTGGCACAACTTCTTCATTAACTTCATAACCTCTCCTAAAGTCTTGCTCACCGACATCATATTGTCGCTTCACATTATCTCCATCAACTTCATAACTTTTCCCATCATTCAAATGTGATGCCACAACAGACAATTCAAAGTTCTTCTCAACTGGTCTGGCCCGAACTTTTGCTGACTTCCGAATCAACAAATGTAAGACAGCATCATTATGTTTACATATGTCATCAATAAGTCTCTGATCCTCGAGTAGTTTTCCATCACACACAACTTCTTGCTCTTCTAGATCAACAAACTCTTTACTCTTCTTGGCGATCTTTTGTTTCACATACCCAACATCCTTACCACGTTCCACGTGGAAAGTAAATTCTTTCCCACAAGTAGTTCGAACATTGATCTCCTGAAGGTCAGAAAGCCTAAGAACCAAATGTAAAACATTTCCATCTGTTACCCCATATTCCCGGAGTATGGAATCGCTCCTAGCCAGTTCCCTACCTCCACAAACTAACTTCTGCTTCTTAGCAACAAACCCTTTATAGGTTTGGATCCTAAACTTAACTGACTCAATAGAGTCAGATTTCAAAACACTCATGGGAGTAGTTGATCCAGAATCAGAGAGAAATATCAGAATCGACTCATTTGATGACAGACACGATTGCGAAATCATGGGCTCACTATGAGCCGGTGTAAGAGCAGCAATACCGGCCGACGACATTTTGCTCTTAATTTGAAAAGTTCCAAGAAAGTCAAAAGCTCTTCAAACCAATGCAGAACTTTCAAACCCTACGAAAATTTCACAACTTTACAAGAATGCAGCCATTCCGAATCCTAAATTCACCACCTGATTGCTACCCAGATGATCAAACAAACCCTAGATTCAATATTCACAAACTATACAGCAAAAGGAACAAACTTGAATACCCCTCCCCCTCCAAAACAAAGGGGAAAAAGCAACCCAGGCAGAAACACTATAAATTCATCACCTGGGAATAAAAAAAACACAAAGTGAGCACCCAGAAACCAATTGGCAAATCAAAAACCCAGTAACGAGGGTTACAGCACCATTGCCAAAAATCCAAAAAAATAAAAGTAAAAAATTATCAACAAAGATTTCGATTCTTACCAAGAAGGAAGAACCGAAGAAGTGAAGGGTGCTCGATTAGTATTTGTCGTATAGCAACTAAGGTCCGTAATTTTGAAAGACAACAGGAGAGATGGACAAGAAGAGACAGAGAGAGAAGACGCGTGTAGCCGCCTGAGATATGCGCACTGGAGGGGTGAGGGGTTGAATTTTGACGACGATTGAGCATTTATTATTTCCATTAATTTTAATTGCCGTAAGGAACATTCTCAGAAGCTACACGACAGCTTTTAGAGTGCTGACCAAGTTAACAGGATGTGGTGGGAAAAGTTAAAACACTGAATTACGTGTGTTGACCAATCTGGGGTTGCCACGTGTATGTGAGTAATGATGATTTGATTATGCTAATTAAGATTTTCTAAAACGGACTGGGTAAAATTAGGAACTATACCTTTGAATTCTTTGGAATTAGAAGTAGGAAAGTTAGATAGCCAACCCCCGCTGCAAGCTGGTCTTGCACTGAGCATGGGCCAGGCCAGCCATCACTGGCATTTTTAAAAATGAAAAAAAATTTCTCTTTAAAAAAAAAAAAAAAAGGCTTTTTGAAAGAATAAAATAATTAACTTTTGTTAAAGGTTTTGAGAATATGCTAGAGTTCGTGGATCAAGCATAATTATGTTTTTGGACTTTACAATAAGGGCAAGTTGGGCCCGTTGAAGATTAGCTTTTGGGCTTCGCGATCGGCTCTTTTTCCTTTTTCTTAGTGAGAGAGAAAAATGAGAAGATTCGAACCTGAGACAACTTTAATTGTAACTTGTAACTTGACATGTTGATAAACTGTACATGGTTGAGTCTGGTTCAAAATGGAAAACAAAAACAGAAAAGAAGGGGGCATGATACTTGTCTAGAATTTGCAGTATTTATGATGCTATACATTTGAGAACATTTTGGTTTTGACCTTACAAATCAGTGAAATTCAACCAAAATATGAACAACTAAGATATATAGAATTAGAATCTCCGTGTCCATGGTGGTCTATCAGTATACAAGCTCTCAAGCAGTGAAGCTATATTTACACTGTACATTTGGCCTGTTTTACTGTGATGAGCATCCTCTTTCATCTTTTGTCGGCAAGACTTTTCCAAACAGGATAGTGCATGCTTCTCCATATTCTATATTCCATGCTGCAATATTTCTGGCTTCATGTCTATAATTCGGATATTTTATGCTTTAGAGTTCAGCACAAAGCTGGGAAATGCTAGAGATATGTCCCTGAAAGTGCATATGGAAATATCAAAACTAAAATCCAAAGAAAATCACACCTGCAAACAGAAAAGGAGATGACAATTCTAAACTTTTCGAAAAACTTGAAGGCCAGTGAATCTGCATTCTAAATCCAGATGCTTGCAGTGCAATACGAAACGGGGATGATCTAAAAAATGCAGGACTTGCTCAGCTGTGTATTTCCAAACACCATACAAGGTTTGCAGAATGTAGGACAACATACATCAAGTATGGAAGAGTCATATTTTTCAATAGAGAAGGATTATCTACTACGTATTCCTTCCACTCTTCTTTGTCAATCCTGCCATCTGCTTTTCTATCTGCTTCCGTGAACGTCTGTGACATTGGTATAAGAAAGTATGATCATCGAGACTGAAAATGGAGTAAGTGCAATTATCAAGTGGAGTCAAATCCATACCTTCTCCACAATCATTTCAACAATATCATCTGAAAGAATCAAATCAGATTCGTTCAAAAGAGCAAGCACCATCTCCTTCAACTGTTTTTAACACGGGCTTTATGTCACTTAAAAGCAAAAGTCATGAACATGAAAGATAACTATTAAGAAATTTGATCTCTTCATATTATTTGTATTCAGAAAATAGTGATCGTCCGCAGGGCTGATGAATGATGACTGGATCACTCTTTCAATCGTGAAAACAAAGTTAGATCAAAGACCAGAATGTAAGGTGCTGGTTCTACAATTGTTCTAGCTTTCTGTAGTTCATTAAATAGTTAGCTGCTATATGAGTACCTTAATTTAGAGACAAATTTATGCATAAACACTTGTTACTAAAAATAAACAGAACATGATGATGATTTTTAGGTTATACTTCAAAGTATGAGGTCTTAACTAAGCTGATTTAATTAATTTGACTAACCAATTATTACAATCAAGAATATCTATCTGTCTTCAATAGAAATCAAGTCCACAGGAAAATGAAAAACTTGTACCCCAAGATCTTTTAACTCAATGAACAACCAAGAGCAAAAAATAAGAATCCAATGTATTTACCTCCTCACGCTCGATGTAACCAGTGTGCCTCAAATCATACAACTTAAAAGCATCTGCCACACAGATATACCCATTTTAGTGTCCACATATGAGTTAGAAAGTACTGTGGCAGAAGATTTCAAAGGCCAGGGAATTAAAATCATGAGTCTAGTTCTTACATGTAATTTTGACTGCATCAGGAGTTTTTGGGTGGAAAACACTCAATGTTTGAACAAATTCTTCAAACTCTATATGACCATTGTTATTGACGTCGAAAAGATCAAATACCTACAAAGCATGGCAGAACATATTTTTTTTAGGAATGAGAGTCTTAATGAAATTAGAGCTCTATATCATATGGAGCTTTATCCAAAACCAGGTTCTGTAAATCGAAATCGCTGCATTTCATAAAGTCTTTCCTCTGGTACATGAAAAAAGAAAAAAGAAAAAAATCTGGCAGTCATCTTAAAAAGTGAAAAAGAAAAAAGAAAAAAGAAAAAAAACAAGATTAAGACCATATACCCTGTCCAAGAAGAGGTTTTTACTGCTATTTTGCAAAAGTGCAAGCTGGAGTTCTTCCTATTAATCAAAATTAATCTAAAATTAGTTCAAAGCACGACAGATTATAAATTAATACATGATTCACATAATATTCATTTCAAGAAGAATTAAAACACCAGAAGGAGGAAATTAAGCACACCTTGTGTATAAAGCCATCTTTAACTACAGAACTGCTGAGTTTCTTAAACAGCTCATACAAAGACTCCACCTCACTCACAGAAACTGCCAAATGCCAAAACATAAATGGATCATCAGATTTCCACACTTGAATGCAAGAACAGCAGGATGCTCCAATCAATGTTCAAATTAAACTCACAGGGGGTTTTGGAAGCAAGAACAGCAGGATGCTCCAACCCAGATTCTGGTTTGGCATTTTGGCCAACTTTGGCTCTCTCTTTCTTTGAGTTGCAGCAACCCATTCAACCTTCTTCTTCTTTTTTCCTGCGAGTTTCTGAACTTCAATCTTTTCTGTTGCTCCTTGAATTGACTGGTGGAAAATCTCTTTATGGTTCTTATGGTGGATTTAAGCCAAAATTGGAGACTTATACTTGTCTTGTTTAATTAATCTATGCAAACTGTATTGTGTTGGTCAAACGCCCGTTGGTCAGTGCGAGCCCAAGGTTACTTGCCATTCTATTATTTGATGACATAACGGACAGAAATTTCGTTGATATAAGACATATTGCTTATTATTGTTATTTCTGAAATATAATGTTGAAAGCGATTACAAGTTCGAGTCTCCCTCATCTTTATAAATTATAATATTTTACTACTGAGACATATCGATAAGATGTAAGATGGTGAGTAAGGGCTGGGGAAATTATTTTATTCATTTAGAATCTACAACTTCCTTATCTTCCTCCCTCGGTGTCGCATTACATGAGCTGGAACAGCGGGCTTATCTAACTTCGTTATATCTTTCATGACGCTAACTTGGATTCCTTGGTAGATTACGGCCATTCTGTTTCCTGAAGGGAGAGCAATTTAGTTTTACATAAACTTTTGAAGAGCATGGAGTGTCATGTGGTTTTCTTCCGTTGATCCAACAAAGTTTAAAAACAAATGTTGATAAATACACGACCTCTAAATGCATAGGCTCGGGTTCTATTATCCATGTTGGTCGGAATTATTGGTAAAAGGAAATAATCTTGCAGCTACTTCCATGGAGGAAATGCCAACGTGGTAAACTATTCACTTATATACAAATTGCATGCAAATTTACAGCACAGTCCTTTGAAGGCAAATTTCTGGCCAACATTTTTGGAATTCTGCAACATCATAAAGCAAATTATCTGGCCTAGGACCTTCCAAAGCAATTAGCAAAGTCTCTGAAATTTCTAACTACGGATGGCAAGATAGTTATGTAAGCTTGCTTCATGTCTAGGATCTCTGTATACATTTTTCAAATCTGTTTATAGTCAGGCATGGCTCTAAACAGTTGCGGAGGTACAAAATAACATCTGTCGTCAACTTTGTGAACCAAATTCTATCTGATATTGAATGAAGAAATCGAGTACAATCATTTCTGTGGCCATGTCAACACTAGAATGGTGTGTGTGTCAACACAATCTGACCAAAATTACCTGCAAAGTCAGCTCAGGTAGCAACCAAGCTTCCCTGACAACAAACACAAGCGACTATGATGCCAAGGAGAGCTCCAGCAATAACCTGTGAGGGAGTGTGGCCAAGCAGTTCCTTGAGCTTCTTTTGGCTGATGGGATGCCCTTCGAACAAGTACTCAACGACTATATTAAGAACCTGTGTCATCGTAGTCACAAATATTCACAATAAAATCAAAATACAACACCGGTAAGTCAAATAACACACACATACACCAAAAAGAGAATGGTCTTTGGCAAGTAAGGGAAACTAGTAAATAACTAAGCAACCTACCAGAACTATACGATGACTAATTGCACGATTGCTCAGAATACAGAGGATTTGCAGAATTTATAAGATGCCAGCAAAATTTAAATTTGGTTGCCATTTGGGATGAGAAGGAAAATCAACAAAGATTATGACTGCAAGGCTGCAAAATTTTGATTGTCTTCTCATTCATAAAATTTTAGCATTAATATCACCTTAGATTTGTGATTTTTTCCTAGGTTCAATTCCATGAAAATTCAGAAGTGAAAATTTTCCTAGTTATTAGACCTGACCCAATGCTACATGCCCTCCTATAAACTCTGTGACACATTAACCACAGAAGTTGTAGTTTTCTCTGTTTCTTCACCTTTTAAACACCCAGAAAAGCATGAGGGACCTTCTTTATTTTTAGGATCAATGGGACCTGACACAAATTGTTTACTCTCACAACAGGCATAAATCCTATAGCAACTTGTTTAGAGAAAACTAAAAAGTACTACTCACATACATTGCACATTCAACAGGCCAGTCAGAGAGAACTATTAAACATAACTGAACTTGTGATTAAAGAGAGGCCTGTAACTCAAACATCAAATTAAAATGAAAGGATATCGAATTGCGCTTTGGCACTTCAGTTTCATGAATTCTCTCATGGCTCATTGCTTTCAGAAGACATTTCTGGATGAGGATAATGGGTCGTATGGCTCCACGACAATGATGCAAAATCTATCATCTACCTCACGATGTAACATTATTACTTTAAACCCCAACATTTAGACCAAGAGTTCCAAGTGCAACGAATGACCAACCAAACCAAGGTCTTAATCAATTAACTCTCAACCTTCCAATTTGTTAATCATATTCAACTGCCATATTACACTAATCAATCATCACAAATGCCTGTCAATAAAACCCAGCTTGCAAAACAAACATCCCGAAAGAAAAAGATTCAATATGTTATAGATATACAAAATAGAAAGAACCCAAATTGACTTCTTACCTCTGCTTGCATACCAGCATGTCGTCGAACACCAATAGCATCATACATAACAATGAGACTGAACCCCAAACAAACAGGAAAAAGCGAGTCTGCAACACCATGACAAAGAGCCACAGAGGTCGTCAAAGCCGTGCACAACGCCGAGTGCGACGAAGGCATGCCTCCAGAAGCATACAATATTCTAAAATCCCATTTCCTCTCCACAAAGAAATTCAACAACACCTTTGTCGACTGTGCCATAAACCACGCGAACAAGCCCGAAACAAAGGTCGGATTCGCAGCCAATTGAGCCACGAAAGGACTAATTTTTACTTTGGCATTGGATGTCACGCTTAACAAAGCAACTCCAATCCCGCTATTATGTAAAAAATCATTATTTTTTTCATGTACAACACACTCCGTGCCTCTGTAAGCCTGTAAGAAAGAAACCCACTTCTGGGTTCGTGAAGAAGCTAAAACTCTGATGCTTTGGAGGACTGGGACCAAGAACCAGATGGGATTTAAGGGAAAGTTACGAGAATCCCATATGAATTTTGGGCGTCTGGGATTGGAAGGAGGTATATGAGAGCAAGAGATTGAAGATGTTGATTTTCTGAGTTTTTTTAAGTGAGAGAATCTGAAGAAGGAGAAGTGTGTTGTGGTGGTGTGAAGGGGCTGTTGGGTCTGTGATGGGCTGAGCTTGAAGGAACTGAATGCGTGCTTTGTTACAACTGAGTCCATGTGAGGCCTTTGGTTTCAGTCAGCATTTCAGAGAGAGCAATTTACAGGCATTGTGAATCGCTCTGGAAGCTTGAGAGTGGAGGAAAGCAGAATTTATGAGCTGGAGAGGACTGCATCCAAATGAGGAAGGAATATGCTAGAGACTCTTGAGAGTACATTTTCCACATTTTGGATTTTCTTGGAAATTGAATAGGCATCTCTTCCCGAACTTTCGTCGGGAGAGGTTTTTTTTAATTACTTTAATTAGTCTTTTTTAATTACTTTAATTATTTGGGTGTCTTAGTTAAATTTCTTCATAGCCCAAGAGCCCTATCTATTACTATTAGGCCCTATTTGGTTCACGGAATGAATTTGAGGGAAAATCATTTATCATGTTATTTCCCATATCATTTCCCAAGGAATAGGAAATAGAAGATTTCTTTCCCACGTTTGGTAATGCTGGGAAAGTAACTGGGAGATAGCACTTTATTTCATTTCCCATATTTGTTTTGAGTAGGAATGGAAAACAAAGTTTGTACAAATTTTCAATTATACCCATATTAAATTTAAAAAAAAAAATAGAATGCATTTAATAATATATTGTAATTCTAAATTGTTAATGAGGACAAAATAGTCATGAAAAATATGTATTTAATGTTGATTCATTTCCCCAAACTTTTCCATGAGGAGAGAAAACAAAACCCAAGTTGGGAGGATGGCTTCACTTTCCATGGGCTAGACAACCATTTCTTAGTCCTGGACTTACCAAACATGAGAAAGTAATTGATTTCTCATTCCCAAGTCTCCTTTCCCATGAACCAAAAGGGGCCTTAGGCAATTACTCGAGTATTTGTTGTCCATTTTTTATTTTTTACCTTTCCAAAGTTATTATCCGTATAAAGATTTAAGCACTTTTACGTTTAATAATGTATTATATACGTATGCACGTATTTTTTACAAAAAAATTTAATAAGACACACGAAATTTAAGTATTATACACATAATTCTCACATACTATTGAATAAAAATAGGGCCATGATTTCCCCACTCCTATTTTATCCACTTACACTCCTTTTTTAGTTATAAACTAAAAAAGGAGTGTAAGTGGATAAAATAGGAGAAAAAGGAGTGGGGAAATCACCACTCTAAAAATAATATATATGGTATAGCCGCACGGCCATACTCAGTTTTTTAATTGTTTAAAAAAAAGTAGAGCCGCCCGGCTATACGTTTTTTTAATTTTTTAAAAATAGTTATGGGCGGCTCTCTCTCTCTCTATATATATAGTAGAGCCGCCCGGCTATACTAGATTTTATATTTTCTTTAAAGAAATAGTATAGCCCTGCGGCTATACTTGTTTTTTCTTATTTAAGAAAAAAGTATAACCGCCCGGCTTTACTGTTTTGACACATGGCCCCTAGGCGCTAGGCGCATCTTTTTTATATATAAATAGTATAGCCACACAACTATACTGTTTAAAAAGAAAAATTAATCTTTGGAAATTTCGCCGGCATAGACCTTGCCAACATACAAGAGAAGTGAGGTTGGAAGGTTTTGTTGATGGAGAATTCATGAGTTTCTCTTTGCATCTTTCATAGGTACCCCATTCCCATTGAAAAACTAAATCGATTCTCTAATATGTTGGGCAAAATTTGTATAATCTAAATTATATCTCATCTTAAACTCTAATCCACCAAATAAATTCTACTTTTTGATCTACAAAGTTGGATAAAAGCTAATACAAATTTTTTGTTTGATGTATTTGATCATACGACTCAACTTAAACTTCATCTCTAACAATACTCCCTTGTCCGGATTTTTTTTCCGTTGTAACATAGTTCATTGTTGACAAAGGGTAACAAGTATATGTGATTTTTTATACTATATTGAGACCAATATGTGTTATTATAGTACATAAAAATCAACCTCACTGTGTGAAAGCTTGTAAGTCTAGTGTTTTTTTACGGATTACTCATGTGTTTACTAATCATATGGGAATGAAAGCTTAAGCGCCACAAAA